GGGGGTGGGGGGGGGGGGGGGTCGTCGGGCTTAGGAGGGGAAGCCGGAAGAAGAGAAGGAGGTTCCCCTTGCCTTCTCCCTCCAAATCTGTCTGCACCCCTGCAGAGGGGCCCTTTGGGGACGGAGAACCCGCTTTTTTCCTGCAGTCCACAGGAGACTTAAGCGGACCTCAAGGAAACTTGGGCCGAAGGCGCGGGGTCACCAAGGGGTGAGGAGTTGTGGGGGGTGCCTCTCGGCGACCATGGGGAGGCGGCTGGGTCCCGAGGTCGCTCGTCGGTGGGCTCGGCCGGGAAGGCTGCTGCGTACAAGCGAGAGGCAGACCCCTTTTAGCGGGGCCTCTGCGGGGAAGAGGGGGCGCGGAGGGGCGGTTCATGCTAGGGCTGAGGAAGGTGGAGGGAGAAACCAGGGTCTTCGGTCGAGACGGCGTGTAGCTCGCCCTCTCGGCAAGCCAGTGGCGTGAAAAGGATGAGTGTTTTATTTTGAGTGATTAGTTGTTGCCACGTGGGCTCTCTCGAAATATATATAGAGATATGTATGTGTATACACACACACACACACACATTCCAAGCACACACGCAAAATGGAACTTCCCTGGAGCTGAGAACAGCCTAACAGCGGGTTAAATAAAGGTACTAACGCAAATATTTATTGGTTTTTATAGTAGGCAATTAATCTACAGGAGCTTTAGCTAAAATGAGCAGTGGATACACATCTAGACTTGGGTGCACTTTGGGGCGGATCCTGCCAAAATGGTCCCGTGTTCAAAGAGAATTAAGACTGTCAAAGATCTTGATCATTGATCCGAAGTTGCAGGAGATCTCTCAGGGGAACCAACGAGGTCTTGTTGGAGAAGCAGATGGCAATATTTAGCATGGCAGGGATTGGGAATACAGTACTGTATTGTATATACTTCTTCCTGTTAAGTAGTTATCTAGCTCATAAGATGGCCTAAAATCGATTTATTAACATTTAGCCTCTTGAGCTATCAAGGTGGTTCATACAATTAGTCTTACGGTAAAATGTATTTTTGAATCCATTTAGTGCTGCCATAATTTTAGCATTACTGTATAAAGTGGCCTATCACAGATAATGGGAGGATGATTGAAAAAGTAATATTTCCCTCTAGTCAAGCATGGCTCCTTTAAAAGGCAATAAATTGTCAGTGATTTCATTAACTCTATTTGTACTTTCTGCTAGAGGCACCAAATATCTCAGTCTACCTTAAAGGGTGCATTTAAATTCTGGATTGTTGATTTGAGTACTCAACTAGGGAAGGAGTGTTATTCTGGGCTGTTTAGGGCAGCTCCCCCAACCTGGTGTCCTCTGCATATGTTGGACTTCAGGACGAATTCCCAGCCAGTAAAGCCAAAGGAATTCTGGGAATTGCAGTCCCAACATATCTGAAAGGTGGATTAGCAGAGAGTACAGTGCCTTTGTGCATGGAATACTAGGGAATGTGTGCAAGATTGCAACATAACTTTCCTAATAACATTCCATGTGAATTATGTAATTTGCATCAGTTGTATCATTTGCACAGTGAAATCATGGCACATGTGATGTCAGTTCCCCCAACGCCGTCCCCCCAGACAGCCATGATTCCAACTGAAGTACATTCAGCACCTCTTTTTTTATTCTTGCTCATTTTACTCACTTAGCATGTCTCAGACTGGTTACTCTGTTTCCTGCCTTGTGGGCATTGTAGGCTGGTTTAAAATGTATTGAAGGATAGTAATTAATCTATATTTAGTGATCCTTCGTAGATAGTCTTTGAATTCGCTATATTTGATTGCATCATATAAAGTTTAATTACCATTTAAGCACTTAATGCTAATGTATTAGTTACCAAACTAGGAAAGAGATTTAAAACGGTGTGTGTGTGTGTGTGTGTATGTATATTTTTCTCTGCCCTCACTAATTTGTGTGCAAGAGACAGTTTTGATGCCTTCCAAATCCAGCAATAGTTCTGGATTGAATCATAGGAAAAAGATTGGCATATTTGTGCCTTGTTTGCTGATAGGCCTCTTTTGGTATACATAAAATAATGGCAGATTTATCTGACATCCTTCCTCCCACCAGCACAATTAATAGGGCAAACCTAAACCCTCTTTTGTACCCTTTGCAGATAGAGTACCTGGTCATTTAGATCTGTTTCCCACATCATTTATATGAGGCACCTTTTTTACACCTTTGCCTACTTTATTAGGCAACAGTGATTGTGTTTGGAGCTCCTACAAGTGCAACACTTCTCTGCTCTTCACTGAAGTGGTTCAGCTTTTTTAGGATTCCAAGTGAGCTTGAAATAAAAAGTTGCTGCTTCTTGCTGCTGGAAGAAATCCACTAGTTACTTTTTTTTCCAGCTACCCTGAATCTTGTGATAGGGCGGTATAGACATGTGCTAAATAAATAAGTAAAACTTAATACAGAAGTCTGAAAAATGTCCAGGTTTCCAAATATGTAACAGAGTTTTGTAAAGGCTGAAGCATTTTTTCAGAATCAACTTTCAAAGCCTGCACAGCCCTAGAAATCTGTTTTTGCGTATACATTTGCCACACATGTATATTTCTTTATGCTGTTAAAAAGTCGTACTGTGTAATTAACTATATTTTTTAAAAGATAAGAATTCATGTTTCCACCTCCACCACATAGTCATATCTTCTGCTTGGGCCCTATTATAGAACCTAGTCTAGTGAGCCATTCCTTCTCTCTTCTTCCCATTTGGGTCTGGGTTCAAAGAATGTATTTATTTTTAAACCTGGATGGGCTTTAGCTCCTATGCTGGATCCAAATGGAAAAGTGCCAAGGCTCAAGTTTTCCTTGGAATTGACTCTGATTCACAAAGGGAGAATGTGTTTCTCTGCCCTTGGTAGTCAGCAGCAGACTTTGGAAAGATTACACCAGAAACAGCCCTAGCTGGGTTCATACATTTTGCACTAAACCATAATGTGGTTAGCTTGGTTTTGGTTTAGTGCAATGTGTGAACCTAGCCCACTGCATGTGTAAACCTTTGTTTATAGGTTTGCATTTATATTAAAATGAATGTATAGACCAAACCACAGCTTTGTAAAATGTGTGAACTCGTCTTGGTTGATACAGTATGAACTGATGGTGGACATTCTATCTGTGGCTTTTTGTCCGTGATAATACATTTGGACATGTAAGCGATCACTGGAAGTTGTACCCCTCAGAAGGTGTTTGTCTGAACCAGTTTTGGAGGACTGATGCTAATAAGCATTGTACGGGAGGCAACGTGAACATCATAGCTGAGGGGGTTAGGTCTTTGTAACTCATATGCCTAAACTAGTGGAAAATTTGAGTCATCAAATGATGTGTAAACAGCCCTGAGATGTCATATAGGCTTGGAAGCATTTTTCTTTGTTTTATTTTGGGCTTGGTTTCAGCCTTGGATACTCTGGGAGGGTTAAGCAGTTGAGCTGCATCTAGATTGCAACCAGGGTCCTTTAGGGTCAAGCTGTGTTCCTGCTCCTTTCAACAAGCTAAGAAGATCAACCAAACAGAAATTGCGTACGGCTCAGTTACTCTCCCAAACCCTAGCCAGTAGGTTGATTTCATTCATAAATCAAGGCCTTGTCATCTTCTGGCCTTTGCAGTTTTTTTCATTGGCCTGGAGTACCCATTTTGTGTCTAGACAATAACGCTCAGCTCTTCTCTGGCAAATTGAGAGGTGGGCTTTCCAGCTAACGCAGGAAGCAAAATGTGCTTCTTGGAGGGAGAACTCATTCACAGCTCACAACAAAACCTTTATCCTGCAACTTCAGAAAGGGACTGGCTGCAGAGTCTGTCTTCTTCCAGTTTCCATCCTCAGCACCTCCAGTTTAAGCTGGGGAAGGCACATATTTGTCTGGCTGCCTTCACGCGCCTACAGTTGCGTGGGGGAAAACAGAAGAACGAAGCAGGCTGCATATGGATACAGCTGGAAGCAATTTCAGCACTTTTTCCAACCGAAGCAAGAACGACAAGAATAGCTGCAGTTGTCTTTGGGCATGGCCTGGCTCATGCTAATGTTTGTCAGCATCTGGATCCTGGAGAAAATCACATGGGGGTGAGGTGGGGGCAAGATATAGACTCTGCTTTGGGAGATCCTTTAAACAGCAAGGCTGGGAAAAATGCTGGTTTTAAATCTTGATCTGCTTCTGCCAATTGATGGCTGTCGTCAGGATGGTGTGTGTTTTTTGTTTAAAGTGGGTGTGTGCTGTACATATCTCTGCTGCTGTGTGTTGCTCTCCCCAGTGTTGTCACCTAATTTGAAGCTAGCACATGAAGCTTATTTCAGAGTATCTATGCATTGGAGAGGGGAAGCTGGCAGTCTTGTCAGAGAAGTTACTTGCTTTGGGGGTGATGGCCGTGGAGCTTTTAAATCGTCTTCTGGCTCCCAATTTCATTTTGCCTGTAGTGCTGTCCACAGTAAGGAAAGGCCACTCGCAGCTACAGATATCAGGTGAGTCTTCTAAGAAAGTCTGAAGGCCATGCTGAAAAGTCCTTCTCATACATAGAGCAGCTCGCCATAGCTTGGATTGCAAGGTTGTACACTGTTTTGCCCGCTGGGGAAAGCCACCAGACAACGTGATTAAGTTCTACTCCCACCCAGCGGATAGCTTATCTAGTCTCTTTGGTTGCAACTTTTTCACATTTACGGAAAGCATCCCCGCACTTCTTGAACAGCTCTGCAGAATCAGGCCATCTGATGATAAGGCCCTTCCTGTACACAGTGTACATTGATTTGGAAAGAGGGAGGGGTGGCAGGCCTGAAT